TGTACTTTTGTAAATATTTTGTGAAATATAATAAATGAGTGTTTTGTTTACTCTTTCTCTTAAATTTATATTTTACTATTTTATGATATTGTTTTTAGATAATTTCCTTTTTATTCATTTAAGATGGCTGAATCTGGAAATGAGTTCAATGGAAATGCTGGAGTAATCTTAGCCATTCAAGATATGGCTTCAGCAATTAGAGAAAATAGTAACCAAGATCACCGTCATGAAACTGAAGAAGATCGAGTTATGAGGATACCAGGACAATTCCGTAAGACGAAACCAACAATATTTAAAGGTGAACCAAATCCTATGGCAGCTGAAGAATGGTTGAGGCAAATTAAGAGAAAGATGGATAATCAAAGAATTCCTGCAGACATTAGAGTTGTTATTGCTTGTACCTATCTGGAAGGACAAGCATACCTTTGGTGGGAGTCAATTCTGAGTATGCCAGATACTGAAATTACAACTTGGGAGGCATTCGAAAGTGTTTTCTTGGAAAAATATTTTCCAAGTACTATGAAAGCAATGAAAGCAAGGGAGTTTGTTAACCTTGTCCAGGGCAACTTAACTGTTGATCAATATCAATCTAAGTTTGAAGAACTCATGCGTTTTGCACCATATATGATCCCTGATGATGCAACAAAAGCAAAACGATTTGAAGAAGGATTGAAACCATCAATTTTGGAAAAGGTTGACATTTTGAAATTAAGCAAGTATGCTGATGTGGTTGATAGAGCACATATAGCAGAGCAAAGACCCGAAACGAAGAGAACTTGGGATTCAAGTAGTGGACAAGTAAATAAACGGACAAGATTTAATACTCCTCAATCACAAGAAAAGTTCGGACCACCACTATGTTATTACTGCAAACAAGTGGGACATGTAAAGAGATTTTGTCCACAACTACAAAGATATCAAGGACCTCAAGTACAGCAGACATTATATCGTCCTCCACAAGTACCTTTTCGTGCTCCACCGCCACCTCAAAGTTATACTACTTTTCAACCTCAGTCTAACTGGGCAAGGCCAGTTACTAGTCAATCACCACAACATCCAGGAGGACAATCTTCCCAAATTAAACCAAAGGTCCCTGCAGCTGGAAAGAAATCTGGACCATTCACACAAGGAAGAGTATATGTTATGGGAAATGTGACAGATCAAACTGAGCCTAAGACAATAGAAGGTATGTTTTTGGTATTCAACTCTTGGGCTAAAGTGTTATTTGATTGTGGAGCTACACACTCTTTTATATCCAAATCTTTTGCATCAATGCTTGAGTTAGACTCTGAAAATATGAAACCTTCTTTGTTAATTGGATCTCCTTTGGGTGGTAGTCTAGAAGTTGATAAAGTATGTAGATCTTGCATGATAGAGATGTCGGGCCATAAAATTGTTGTTGATTTGATGGTATTGGAAATGTTGGAATATGATATTATTTTAGGAATGGACTGGCTTACACGTTACCAAGTTACAATTGATTGGGGTAAAAAGCGAATTACCATCAATACTCATAAGGAAGAAACCTTTAGCTTCTTTGTGAAAAAGGAAAGCCAGAAATATGGTGTTGGAGATTATAAATATTTGAGTCAGATAGCTAGAATTGGAACTGAAGAAGTAGAAAAATCTCCAATACAACTTATACCTGTGGTAAAGGAATTTAGCGATGTTTTTCCAGAAGAATTGCTCGGCTTACCTCCATAGCGCGAAGTAGAGTTTGCTATAGAAATATACCCAGGTACAACACCTATTTCTATACCTCCTCATCGCATGGCCCCAGCTGAACTGAAAGAACTTAAGATACAACTCCAAGAATTACAAGCGAAAGGATATATCCGTCCTAGTACTTCACCATGGGGTGCACCTGCTCTCTTTGTGAAAAAGAAAGATTTAACTCTTCGAATGTGTATCGATTATCGTCAATTAAATAGGGTCACCATAAAGAACAAATATCCTTTACCTAGAATTGACGATTTATTCGATCAGTTAAGAGGTTCTCATTTCTTTTCAAAAATTGATCTTCGATCTGGCTATCACCAACTTCGAGTTAAAGCTGAAGATATACCCAAAACAGCTTTTCGAACTCGATATGGGCATTATGAATTTGTAGTTATGCCTTTTGGATTGACAAATGCACCAGCAGCATTTATGGATATGATGAACCGAATTTTCCGACCTTATTTAGATCAGTTTGTCATCGTATTCATTGATGATATTCTAATATATTCCAAATCTCAGGAAGAACATGAGGAACATTTGCGAATCGTTTTACAAACATTAAGAGAAAATCAATTGTATGCAAAGTTGAATAAGTGTGAATTCTGGTTGAGACAAGTAAAGTTTTTAGGACATGTAATTTCCAATGAAGGTATTTCAGTTGATTCTTCCAAAGTTGAGGCAGTGTTGAATTGGAGTCAGCCAAAGAATATCTCGGAGATACGTAGTTTCCTTGGATTAGCTGGCTATTATAGGAGATTTATCAAGGATTTTTCTCGAATAGCTGCACCAATGACCAAG